TTTACACCTACAGCACCTGGTCTTCCTAGGTGGTCTCCCATTCAAGTACTAACCAGGCCCGAATCTGCTTAGCTTCTGAGATCAGACGGGATCGGGCTTGTTCAGGGTAGCTTGACCACAGACAGCATTAACTTGCTTTCAATGAGGAAAAGTAACTCACCCAAACTGACGGGACGGGAGCAAGTTGTTCTGCCATTTTTCTAGATCTTTGAGTTGCACGTCGAATCTGGGGCTGATCACTCCACACTGTAAAAGCACAACAGAAAACACTGTTCATATTTCACCAATAACAGATAAACGGAATAACACAAAACAGCATTTATAATCACTTAATATCATGTAAACCAACCAACTCAACATAAGCAAAGTCAATAAAAGAGGTAGAACACAAGGCAATGCATGTCATGTCAGGTCCCCAGTGTGCATCCCTATGGGCTACAGAGCTGTCCCAGAACTAAGTCTCAGACAAATAAAATTGCAAACTTTTTTTATATAGTAAAGCTGAAATGAATGCGTAGGGTCTAAAATCTTTCACCTATAAACTAAAAATGTACATTATCAGAATTTCTAAGAAACAAGCTCCACAGGCACTAAACTAAAATCTAAGAACATAACTCTATACCAATGACGTACAATAAACGTCTCTGAGGCATGCTATCCCTACAACTCCAAATTTTTCCAAACTAACTTTCTGAAGTGGATGGGCAGCAGAAGGAGCAAAGTTCTTAACATTATCCCAGCTGTTTGCTACTGAAACACAGCAACACTGTCCTCCAAAGTGAATGCTCCCCAAGAGCCAAACCGCTGTGCTTCAATCACCCAAATCACTCACAGACAAATCCTAAACCCAGACGAGTGCAAGCAAGCATCCACTAACGGCCGACAGTTTACCTATGGGCTCATGCTGTGTCTTTGACTAGATCAACCGGGTTTAGAAAATGGAGACTGAGGGGATCAAAAGCCTCTTTAATTAATTAAAGCTAAATGGGACCCCTCCTGCTCACATCGCTGCTCTAACAAATCGCTAGTACACTTAAAAAAGGCAATGCAGACAGGCTCCTGCCATTTACACACAAGAAACCACCATGTGAGAACACTCGGGATTAGCACCATCAAAGTGTAAACGCGAAGGGGGGGGCCACAACAGCAGGTAGCCGGTTTGTGCATATCCGCACAAGACAATCATTGAAAAAAATTCCACGACGTTTAACAGTAAACTAAAGGAGACTATGAGGTCAGAATGTATTCAAGTCTTTGGAGCAGTTACACTGCCCTATGCTGGGAGGCCCACTCAGGTTCTCTTTTCATGCCATTACCCTAGTCAGGCTACGTCACCTGACTACCAAGGGCAATCTCACACTGGATGGAAAAAAAATACAGCAACAGCAATAGAAAAACCAGTTCTCCAAGCAACCTATAGTGAAAGACCATTCTGAGGCTTCCACTACTCAGCACCCAAGCTTTTCATTCCAACAAAATACCTCTCGCTCAGCTAGAATTAAACCAGCATATCCTTCCCAAACCAGATGAAGCGTAAGAGGATGTGACCAAGGACAGAATGTCTTTAATTGAGCTATAGTTTTTAAATACTATCTTACTACCTAGCTCCATTACATATCCACACAGTTAAGGGTACATCCATCTCTTGCAAAGAAATTGAGGCAAAAATGAGGAAAACTAAAGTCAGAGAAACTGAAAACTTGAGCTTGTTTTGCCCAAAGTCAGAAACTAAGTGGCAGGGCCTGGATTTCTACCTTTTAGCCAGAATTTTTCAAACTAGTAGACCACAGAACAAGAATGCCACAAATGAGTTCCACTAGGGAAATGCTCTGTTCAAACTTATTTATGTACAGTGAATGTTCAAGAAGAATCTGGTGCACAGCACTTCGACTTAGAGCTTTTCAAAAAAATGTTAAACACAATCTTCTGCAGGAGTTTTAAAATGTTCTATAAACTAAGAATCTGGTGCACAGCACTTCAACTTAGAGCTTTTCAAAAAAATGTTAAACACAATCTTCTGCAGGAGTTTTAAAATGTTTTATAAACTATCTACCGCCTCCCGTTGGTCACTACCTAGCTGAGACCTTGAGCAGGACTCAGATCTTGAGTCTTAAAAACAGGAAAACACACAGACCCCCTTCTACTTCAGGAACACTGTGAGGGTTGGAGTGACAATTTGGGGGTTGGGATCTAATGGTTACTTACAACTGCAAGAAAACAAGACATACTCAGGTACCCTTGCAAACCTTTCGAATCTCTCATAAAGGCTTCATATTCAGTAGTTTTCATCTATCTATCCACCCACACGTGGGCAACTTCACTCTACAGGAAAGCAACTTTGTAAAATAGACATTGCGAGACCTGGAAATAACCTTACTAATCAATCTGGCCACTGCCGCTAACCACGGCTCTTTCCTGGGCCTGTTTTCCCCCCACTTGTGCTGGCTACAGGATCTAAGACTCATTGCAAATCTGAGAGCTACAAATCCGAACACAGAAAGCAGGGTAGCAGCTCAGGGTCCCTAACTAGCTTACAGACACCTACCCCCAAATCACTCAGTCAGACCACAGTCAAAAGGATCAAAGAGATCCACAGGGTCATGCTGACAAGTCAAACGACAAGGGAGCAGAGACCTGGAAGATACATGTACTGTCTTTGTCAGCAGAAACAGAAGTATCAGTATTGTCATAAAAACCCAGTGTTCAAAAAACCCAACACACAATCACCAAAAAAAGGTCAGTCAAGAGTTATTTACACTGAAAGCATCAGTGGCCTTTGCCACCGAACTTCGAGCCACTGAGGCCGGCAAGTGTTATCACCGAAGACTCAAATACCAGTACCACCAGTCAGGTACCAACCCTCTCGCATCTCCTTCAGACAGCTCAGCCTCCAAACACTAACAATTCTAAAGCAAATACAACACTGGAGAACACATGAAGTAAAATGGGACAAAAATGATTTTAATCAATTCCTAAAGTGTTTTCACCTAAGTAAAGCACACCATCACCATTTGGTCTTATAACAGTAATTATATGTTAACATGGTGTGAGTTAATTCTTAAATGTGGAAGATAATGAATTCTTACCTTGTTTAACCTGCCTGTGAGGTTCACAACAATTTTCCCAGCTCTGTGATCATCGATGATTTCAAATTCGCCAATGTAACCTACAGAACATAACTGACTGTATTAAATGGCAGACAGCAATTTGACAGACCTGAATATTTATGCTCCTCTAGTATTCCTACTTTTTGCCCACTATATTCTTTTCCCTCATGTCAATGACTGTTTTTAAGCAGTTAAAACTAATGTTTACAGCCTAATATTTACCATTTAGGGGGCAACACCCAAAACCACATACACTGCAATTCTACGGAGGGGATTATTATGCCTTTGCTCCTTCACAGCTTCCCACTCCCAAAGTAGAAGATATCCTTAGAAGAACTTGGGAGCCCAATGACATGTCGCAGATCCAATACTGCACAAAGGCCATTTTAACTCCCTGCTAGCAAAGCAACGGTCACAAACTTCATTCTTCAACAGTCCTAACCTCCTCGGTGTTTCCTGAACAGCATCATTTGCCCAGACCATCCCGCCCACAGCAAGTCAACTGCATCGGCTCCCAGGTAGCATGACACCTTGCTCCTCCATGCTCCCAGTCCTCTTAACCCCCTTAATTTCTACAGGACCAATTCCTTAAAAAATATTTTTACATCAGAATGTAAAACACACTCACCATGCTTCATCATCACAGTCAGAAACCGGACGATGACTTTGGAGCACGGCCTAATGAGAACCTGGCGTTTGCCTCTCTTTTCAGCATTGTTGATGCTCTTGAGTGCGTCGGCCAGGACGTTCATGCGCACCATTATGGCTGTTGGGGAAGACAGGACACGGCTTTACCGTCATTGTCAACAGGCACCCCATCGTTCCACTGTGAGAACACATCTTTTTTTCTGCCTCTGTCATCGCGAAGTTTTCCTATCTCTAAGCACACTGGTCCCCCCAGTATCCCCAGCTACCAAAACAAAAATATCAGCTACGGCCTGTCAGTTATCAGAACGGGAGCCGAATCACCGACGTTTCGCAAACGTCTGAAAATCCAGCAGCAACTGTACTATATTAACATGGTCCTTCGACCCAACTAACTCAACGTCAGCCTTGTCCGAATATCCGAAAGAGTAACTGTCACCGAACACCCAAAACTACTAAATCGCCCGTCTTTGCGCCAAGATTGTATCCAATAGCAAGTGCACAACAGTGGCAAATAAACATTTTACGTGCGCCGGAACAGACCAGCCCAACGGGCACGAACTGCAAGACACTGTGATAGTCTGAAAAGTTCTGAACGTTAAGGGTTCAGCCCAGAGCAGGCTCCGGACGCCGACAGCCGGGAGCCGGGAGCCGGGAGCCGACCTGCTTCCTCTCGCCCGATAGTGCATGAGGGGAGAGCCCGGAGCACGATGATGCCGGTTAGGTCCGAGCAATCCGCCACGCCAGGCCGAGCGTCCGCAGCAACTGGAAGCTGCACGGCCCTCGGCGCCCACCGTCCCCGATGCCGCCCACCGCCAAGGCGCTGCCTCAGCCACTACGGGAAGGTCCTGGCGCCGCCTCCCCGGGCGGTCGGAAGCTCCTGTTCCCGCTAGCGCTGCGGCCTGGGACCCAGAGGCCGGCCGGGCTCTCCAGGATACGGAGCGTGGGGCGGCCGAGAATGACCCTCCCCTACGCCTGCCCAGGTCCCCGCAAGGCCAGTACGCCCGGCCCAGGCGGGCCCCGGCATCCTCTCAGAGCACAGAAGTCGAGTCTCAGACTGCAGGATGGCTCCGACAGCCGGATGATGCTGGATTCCTCAGAGAAAGCTACTCACCGGCACGGAAAGATGGCGGAAAGAGGACGGGAGGGGCGAGCACACGGAGTTATGGGAAGCGGACAAGCTATCGCGAGATTTTCAAAGTACCGCCAAAAAAAAAAGACTGCCGAGTGGAAGGAGGCGGGTAAAGGGGCGGAGCCTCCTCAGAGGTGAGCAATGGAGAGTCGATGGAATCGACCTTCCCAGGTAAGGCAGTAGTCGGAGGTTCGACTTCCTGTAAAAGTAAAAAATTGACAAGGGCCTAGGTGTTTGCTAATTTTTATTGCAATAGCTGTTCGTCATGTAGAATAAGCTTTGATACTTACGTTTTTGTAATATCTCTGGAAGGACCCACAGAAACCGGTCATTGCCCCTGAGCCGGGATAGAAGACTTGCTTTTCTCCCTATCAACTTTATTTTGTTGTTTTGAAACGTGTTTATATATTACATTTTCAAAGCAGTTAAAAATATTTTGTCTAATCGGTGGTTCTTCTTTGACTCCCTAAATCTTGGAAATTATTTACTCGGGCTCCAGAAGTTTCTTTCAAGTTCTGGGAAACACAATTTGGAAGAAAGCCACACATGTTTCAAAATAAACGGTCAGGATTCTGAGCCAGTGGCTTTTATCTGCTCTCCTGCACCCAGACAAGAACCGATTTGGATAAATTTCTTGTTATCTCTGAACTTTCCACAAATTTTAAACCGGGGTAAGAGTAATAATAATAATACCTGTCTCTAAAAGGTTATTGCGAGGGTCAAATGAAATAATGCTGACGTCTTTCACGTATAAATGCTTAGTACATTTTAGCGACAGAAAGACGGGGAGTTATAACTACTGCTTGAAGCCCGGGTGTCTAATCACCTGGAAGGGAACCGTGTGACCTGAGGCGAGTCACCTAACATCTGAAATATTTGCAAAAAATCTCCTGATCTTGTTGCTTCCACCTTTACCCTCCGCTCTACCATCCCTGTCTTATGGCAGCCAGAATGGTTGTTCAAAACTTAAATCAGTCAGATCATGCAGTCTCTAAGGGCTCCCATCACCCTCAGTCAAATCCGAATTCCTTACCGAGTTTCCGAGGCCCTCCCTGAAGTGCACACCTGCCTCCTTGCACAACACACCAGGCGTCATCTCCCTGGCTTGCTTTTTTCAGACACTCCAAGGATACTCCACTTGCTTTTCCCTGTCACCTGCATATCCTACCCCCACACCCTCTCACCCCGTCGTTAGCCAGGTGGCTTATTCCCTGGCTTCCCACACACACATATCCAGCCTCCTCCTCGTTCCCCCCAAACCCAAAACCCTGCTGAATTTTTCTTAGCACTTACCCCCGGAAACATTGGAAGTGTATTTATTTTCTGTCCCCAATAAATTGCAAGCAAGCAGGGACTTAGTGCTGTTTGCCACCGCATTCACAGCTTCGCGAAGCTATCTAGCATATCGTCAGCCCATGATACCTATTTGGTGAATAAATGAATGGGCAAATCAGTTTCCCCATCTGTAAAATGGGGGTGATACTACCAATCGCTTGAAAATGCTGTGAGGATAAATGAAATAATCCATCAAAAAGAGATTAACATAAAACCTAGCAGAGTGAGTGCTCATCGACATTCCATACTAGTATAAAGCCTCTGCCCACGGCACCCTCACTTCTCAAGTCCTAAGTGAACCCCATGAAAGCAAAGCTCCCAATTTGACTATCTCAGGGATATAGAATTCTCTGGTTAGATATACATTACAAAAGAACCATTTTCTTTTTAAATGAAAATTTCCTTGAAGAACCGGTTCCCCTACAGGGTACATTTTGTTTACTAAAAATGTGGAGTTCACCTTAATCAGAGGGCCTTAGCAATGCTGGGGAGTTAAGTGAAGAGCTTTATCGTAAATAGAAAAATAGCACCGTCTACTATCTCTTCATACACTTCATTCATTCATTGAACAAACTCAAAATATCACGTGCCAGGCATGCCATGTGGTGAGGGGACAAAAATCCGTTCCTGATCGTACGGGAACTTAGAGGGGAGGGTAAAGGTTGGAAGCAGTGAGTTGCAGATCCCAGGAAGGAGATCACTACGCTGGGCAATGTACCATATGCTGGGAATTGCAGAGGTGGGCTGGGATGCTGCTCAAGCTTTCACAGAGGAAGCGCCATTTGATCTGTGTCCTGAAGGGCACTACCAGTTCATGACTGCCATTAAGTGCCTCCTGTAGACTAACTCACTGAACCCATAGAACAACCGATGAGATTACATAATGCCCCATGAGAGCTAGACTGCTACCCGCATTTCACAAAGGAGAAAACTAGATAAAATCTTAAATGGACTCAGCCTTAAAAATGTGCTTGTTTTCAAAGTCAAAGCCAAATAAAGTGGTTACTTGTCTGAACTACTAGGGTAGGGTTTGGATCTAGGCCTGACGCCAAAACATTAGGAAAGGTGTGTGGGGGCGATAGATATTCTAGGCTTATCAAAGAGCTAGGAGGGCATGAGATAAAGATGGATCATCTCAGAATGGCTAGGTTAGAATTGGGAAATAGGGTAGAGGAGTGGAAAATGGAACAGAGGGCCATGTGTAAACTGTCTTGAGTTTGTGATTTATGCCGTAAGCAAACTGGAACCTGCCAACAGGGCTTCAGATGAGATTGATCGTGATCTAATTGTTAAAACGTGTGGCAACGTGTGGAGGATGAGCTGCTGGCGTTAAATCACCTCTCCTAAAAACTCCCACGACCTTTCACGCTTCTTGGCCCCGCTAACTCCACATGGCCTCCTCTCGACATCTTGTGAATTCTGGGACGATAGGACCTCTGCTGGAGGTGTTGCCCAGGTAGGTGTTCGAAAGGGACTTTTGCTGCTGCCGGAGCTGGCACAAGGGGAGCCAAGCTGGCCCGGGCAGAAAGGCAGCCGAAGGGATTGGCTGAATGGTGGGAGACCAGCATTTCAAAGTATTAGGCAAAGTATTAGACCTGTGGTGACTTTGGTCTGAGACTTCCCTTTTCTGCACATCACCAAACCCCCAGGAGGCTCCAAAGAAGGATCCAAATTGTTTTTTGGAGAGGGTAGGGTAGGAGGAGACTCAATTTAATCTGATCGAATCTGTTCCCAGGACCCACTACATGTAGTGAGGCCCAATGATAAAACATCCAGTTTGAGCTCTAATTCTAAAATATGTTTAACCCATTTCTCCCTTAAGAAGTGCAGCTCGCTGCAAGCATTAATTTGACATGAACACACTCTTTGAGGCTGAAGCTAATCTGACCCATGTTCAATGTAAAAATAAAACATAAAAACGGTTCTTGGAGTTATTTCTAAACAGAACTCGTCTGTAATCCTAATGTAACAGAAATGTACACATAAATCAGATTCATAAAATGAATCTTCGGTAACTGTTCGAGAACGATGTTAACATCACACGTAGGAATGCTCTGTTTTCTAGGATTTGACATTTTCAGTGATCGAGAATCACTATATTCTGTAAATGGAAATACCACTCCTAAAAACAGAATGCTATCAATAGAATGATGTCATTTGTTAAACTTAAGACTAGAAATACTACAACGATGCAAAAATAATAAGAGCAAGGTATTTCGTGGCAAACTTCGGGGAAAGTTAGGACTGTAATCCACGAGTTATCTTGAGGTTAACGCTGGCTGCAGCTTCAAAGTGCCACTGGCAAGTTCTCGGGGCAAACAGGAAATGGGCGGAAGTGCAGACAAAAGTTGCCCACCCCTTACTCCCTGAACGCCTCATGTGTGCTGGAGACAGAGGTGCCCATGGTTCCCTGCCTGTTGTCCCCCGCACTGGGCCCTCTCACAGGTCATCTTTAGGGCCATCACTTACTCACTGTGTTCCCTTTTCCACCCAGCATGGTGCGTGGATATTTGCTGAATAAATACATTTAAGCCTTTTACTTCTTAAAAGAGTATCTTAAAAATACTCTTTACTTCTTAAAGAGTATTTTAAAGGCATGTAATGATCACACGGGGTAGTTCCTTAGTCGGAGCCATAAATCCGACATGTGAGTACTGTACTGGCTAAGGAGAAAGAAAGCTGGACACGACAAGGGATTCCGGCTTTTATTTTTCCCCCTTTTCACAAAACAAAGTAGAAGAAATATAGGATTAAAACCACAAAAGTAGTTAAATTGGTAGAACACCTACGTATACACAAAAAAAATCCAGATAAGAAGACAGGCTTATTTACAATGAAGAAACACATGTAAATTAAGGTAGTTTGTGGTTTTCATATGAAACATTAAAAAAAAAAAAATCAAAACATATGCTACACGGGTGCCACTGTTTACAGAATATTGAAGGGGAGAAAACAACACTCATTTAGGGACAGATATACCACAAAGTCCAAGTTTTACAGCATCAGTGCAATAAATTCACAAAACTATATTACAGCTAGTTAGTCAGAGTTTAAGAATTGTTCCCAAATCTGTCACATTTTCAGCCCTCAGATTCATTCCTACAGATTTCAACTACTCTCAATTTCTAGCTACTAGGAGGGAGAGTGATTCTAAGACGCCTTCCAAGGAGGTCCAAAGTCTGCAGACCTCAGGGCACCTACCACCCCCACAGTCTGCTCACACCAACAGCCCTTGTGCTCTTCAGAGCAACATCTAGGGGAAAAGTCAGACGCCAGCACAGTCACCACCTCATAAAACGAGAATCTTGAAGCTTACACCTTTAAAGGCTTATTCTGGTCTTGAAAAATCAGTAGGAAAAGATTATTTTCTACTGAATCTTGACTAAACAAAGGAAGACGTTTGTCTTTTATTGGCTGGTTTTGAAGTGAAGGTCACAGACGTGAGTCTTAACCTCTTAGGTACTTTAGTTTCAGTCAGCTGAAAATCTGAAAAGTATGCTAAAAACGCTAAACCCAAGCTTTTGGAAGCCTGCTAATGAAGTATTTAAGGACCTGCTGACTGAAATCTAAGTGCAAGGGGACGAGAGCCGGTCAGATCCACCATTATGGAGGGAGGATCGACGTTTCCTACAAACTGCTCAGCTTTGCACCAGGAAGAAACCAGCACCTACCAGGGCATGGAACCAGTTTCATTTTATTCCGTGAGGATTCTTCTCCCATGGTTTAGAAACGGAATGAGGAATGCATCTTAATTGGTCTCTTCATCGAAGGGCTAAGCTTGGTCTCTATATGCACGGAGCCAGTTTTTAAGCAGACTGTGTTAGCAGACAGAACCAGCTTCCTGTAGCCACAGACCACCACACCTGCGTCTAGCTAAAGCGAAGGGCAACTCGAACAGTTATCCAAAGTCACTGCTAACCGTACTAAAGGGTGAAGTTCGCCACTATATTATTTTAAAGGAAGGTGCCTAAAAGTAAGAATTCAATTAACCCTGGGTGAGAAAAATCAAAACAAGTGATATTCGCGAATGAGCTGTCCTTATGAGGCCAACTGATGAGAATGCGCCCAGCTACACTTGACACGAAGACACTAAGCGTAAAGCCTTAGGTGACAAGTCTGAATTTCTAGTAACGAAGGGCAGAGGAGGGCGAGCAAAGAGCGGCTTCTGTAACATGTGAGAATCCGGGGAGCATCACAGAGACTGTCCCTAAGGGCACTGTATACACCGGCAATCACATGAATGAAGCAGATGTGTTATTCGTTTTTCTTTTCTTTTTGTTTGAGAAGCTTGTTTATCTCCCTCTTGGCCATTCCAATGTACTTCAAAATGATTCCATGCTGGTTTAGTCCGGGAAGCAACAGTAAGAAAGTCACTTAAAAACAAACAAACACACATAATTAAGGAGGCAGCAGTTAACTTCTTGCATGTTATTACGTTTTAGAAAGGCAGTTTCCTGGACTGTCAGGCACTCTCGTGGGAGAGAGCAATATGAAACCCATCACTTCTGCTGGTATTTATTCCCAGAACCTTCGGCTATCACAGCTCTCAACTTCACTGCTTATTATTACCTCTTGCATGTTTCTTTCTACCCTGGTTATGTTCTTTTTCTTTTTTCTTTTTAATTATTATTATTTTTTACACCTACAGGACCTGGTCTTCCTAGGTGGTCTCCCATCCAAGTATTAACCAGGTCTGACCCTGCTTAGCTTCCGAGATCAGACATCGGGCTTGTTCAGGGTGGTATGGCCGTAGACCATGGACCATGGATCCACTGGGGTGCGAACCCAGGACATTCTATGTGAAAAGCAGACGTGCTAACCGCTACGCTATGGAACCACGTTCTGGTTATGTTCTTTGTCTTAACTTCCTGCAAGACCATGAACCCTGCAGGCAAGGACCAGCTGTCAGTCATCTTTCAAGACTGCCACACTTCCGGGATCAGCGCCCTGCACGTGGCAAGCATGCGCTGGGTCAGTGACTGAGTCCCAGCCGGCCTTCCCCGGGGCTTACCTATCAGGTAGGTGAGCAGAAGGTTGTGGACTTGCTGTCCCAGCCAAGCAACCGCAGCAAGAGACACGGTCACAGCCACGAAGTACTGAACAGAAATAATAAGAGCTAGTCAGTGCCGGGAACGGGCCAAGGGGCATTAGAGTGAGGGCGTCGTTTCAAAAGGTTAGAAAACAATTCCATTTTTCTTACCATTTTTAAAAAATACTTAAGGTCTATCTGTTATATAAAACCCATAGAAAACTCTTAGGTCTACTTTATAGAATTTAGATATATTCCCTCCTAGAATGACTGTAATTCTATATTTAAGTTAGTTTATAAAATGAATCATACCAATTTTACAATTGATAACTTCACATAGTAACTGCATGGGAAGCTAAAAAAATAAACGCTTTTTAAGTATGTCTTTTATTTCAGTAAAGAAAAAGAAACAAAAATTTCACCCTACTAGAACACAAAATTCAATGTAAAATGTAATTTTAACTTCCAGTGACTCAGTCTAATGCAGATAAACATTTGTGGATGTACTCAAGGAAGTAATCCAATGGATGAGGAACAGCAAACGACATTCAAACAGCAAGGCGATCATTATACTACAGTGAAGTAAAAGCTAACTCAATCTTAAAATTTTGCTTCATTTGAATAGGTCAAAAGGAAAAAAAAAAAGTACCATTTTCGGCTTTTCTTCCTTTAGCGTGAAGAGGCGTCGCCACCAGCCCACTGCCCTGCGTCGCGTTTTTACAAGATTGCTGCAGATTTCGTGGAATCTCTGCTGTTGCTCAGTGGTCCTGGGAAAAGAAAATTTCCCTTTCACTATAAGCAAACCTCTGTGGTAAACGGAGATCCACCATCCTCTCACTTTTAAAAAGCTATCTCCCAAAGAAAGTCTAAATAAAAAACAACAATGATTCACCCTTTTTTTCATAAAGATGAAAAAAGTTCTTGTACCATTCAGACACCTCCAGCCCAGGAATTAAGTTTTTACATCAACGTACACGTGTCTGTGTACAAAGTAATGGTGATCTATGGTTCCAAAGCCACATCTGGTTAATGACGTGATAAAAGACTCATGCAGAATTCAGTATAAATTAATTTCTCTATTCTCATATTTTTCAGATCCCAGTAAACCCTGCGTTGTAGCCCACCAGAGTCGCACTGTTTTGAGGAAGCTGTGAACTTTCTGCTGAGCGCTCCGCAGCAAGGTGAGTACTACGAGAATGCGAAGCATCACACCCTCGACTGGGCTTCGTGCTTTTGCTGCTGAGGCAGCTACACACAGCTCAGATCCAAGTTCTTTATAAGTTTAGTCCCACTGAGGGAAAACATAAACAAAACAGCAGTAAAGATACAAAAGATCCTCCAAGAAAGCCTTTTTTATGTATAATTTTTGAGGATTCCAATTAAAAAACAAAAAAACAAAAAAACTGCCTTTGTGATCTTTGCTATGCAGAGGTAATGGCTGCTGTTATAACGTAGGCCCCACGCTGGGGGGCGTGCTACCTTCTCTCTAGTCCTGTCCCCTAAAGTTGCAGTGACGGATACAGTAGGAAGGTTTCTGCTGAGCCCTGGAACGTCTTGTAAACAATTTGCTCTTATATGCTACCCATGGTCAGGGCTGGGCTGTGGCTATGCTACAGTGTTCTTCCTTCCCATAAAGATCAAACAACAAAACTGCTCTGTCATGTACTGAAACTCTGTTCTTTTCCCCAGGAATTACGAATCAGCAGATTAGAATGCCATCTGGCTAATAAAGTCAAGGTCAGAAGCTGATTCCCTTTGTTAAGTTGCTACATGGTATGGTTACAAACTTGCCAGAAAAACAGCAGCATAATTCATTACTGCACATGAAAAACAATTCAAAGGACATTTCCTAATATTCATCCACTCTGCTATGAGAGAAACATCTTAAAATAAACATGCTCAATGATCCTTTAACTTAAGCAGACTCCCGAAAATGCCTGAATTTGTTCTCAAAGATCCAGAATTTAAAATTCTTCCCTTTACAGAATTATTTTATAATGTACTATTATCAGGAGAACAAAATACTAAAGGCACAGTTGACTGCTAAACATTAAATGACCACGGGAGAGAAGAGCGGCCAGGAGAAAAATACCGATTCCAACTTCTAGTTTTGTTCATTATTTGGATTAAAAAGTCAGAAATGCAACATTCCAGAGAGAAATTAAAATATTTTAATATGACCCACTTAAACTATATCTTGGGAACTCATAAGTAACGAATTCGAAGACTGGCATAAATGAAATCAACCATCCACACGGATATACAACTTGAAGCTATTCTGAAGCACTTGCCGTGCATTTGGCTAACTATGGCTGCACTGCCTTCAACCTGAAACAAGACCAGTCTTAAAAGTCAAAATGTTTCACAGCACCCAGAGCAGTGCCTCACATAAAAGTAGACGTTCGATAAATAGTTGCTAAATAAACAAACATAAATCTACCAGTTACTGTTTTCAAATTTATTCAAATTTGTTAAATATTATATTATCCTAATATCAAAGGAAATAAATGTAGAATGTAAACATACTACTTTTATGGAAAGCTTATATGGGTTCTACAGTCCTTAATAAAACATTAACTGTAAAAAAAAAAAAAACCTCTTACTTCAATAAAAAGTTCCAGAAAGGAAAAAGAAAAAATCAAAATAAATGCTAGACCATATAAGAACTATGCAGCTTTAAGTACTGGAAATTCATGATTTATATATGAATCAGCTAAGAAACTCTTCACATAAAAGCAATAAATCTAACCCCGAGATATCTGATGGTAGGCACTTCTCTGTGCTTAACGACAGCATACCAATCAGAGCCACCAGGGTTAAAGTCTCAGAAATTAGCATGCCAAACCACCATGCCACTTACCATTTATTGGAGCCAAAAATTCTAGGCGCTAGAATGGGAACAAGGTAGTCAGCCAAGCACAAAAACATAACAAAACTGGAAACACCGGACAGAACAGATGGATCTAGGTAGTAGATGGTCCTGTTAAAAAAAAAAAAAAAATTAATAAAGGTTAGAAAAACACAGTCATTATTCTTAGTGAAGACATTTCTTCACTTAGCCCTCTGGTTCTCAAAGATGTTACCTGCCCTTTTCATTCTAATTTTCTCGTTAAGTGGTTTTCTGGAAGCTTCCTGGTATCATAGATGCAATGTCAATATCAAGAGGAAAAAGCTCTTTGGGTCCTCGCCTGTAAAGGATTCTAAGGCCAAACGTTTGAGTCACTGATTTTTTCGACTGCATCAGATTACCGAGTTTACGTAAATACTACAGATTTTGAAAACTAGGCAAACTGCTCTAAGAAAAAAACATTCTTTAGAGATTATACATTACAAAAGACTTAAGGCACTTCCTATCATCAATGGAGGCTGTGTATTTATTACCTGAGCCCTTATTAATAACAAGCACGATCTTAAGTAACTGAATAGCTCACTTACAGAAACACCAAGGAAATCACACCCATGATGGCAGGTGGAAACCAGGCTCTTTCCCATCGCAGGACCTTATCGGCCATCAGCATCACTTCTCCCCATCCTTGCAGCTGCTCTTCCAGACTTGCAGTCTCTGCAGCCTACACGTGATCAACATGGAAAGCCATCATTTTACTGCTCTCAACATGTCTGCGGTTCCTAGAGTTAGTCTTCCAAGGCACCAAGTATATAAAATAGCTGTTAACCAAATCGCTATCTTAAACAAGTTAGTTCCTACAAAAACTGCAATTTTGGTACCAATGACAGCAACAATGGAGAAAAAAAACTATCACTTAATGGTCACCTTCCAAGTCTAAGAACTGGGCTACTCTTTTCATATATGATGTCACAAAATCCTCACAGAGCCCCTCAAGGTATGAATAATTAGATCCATTTTACAATTAAAGAATGGTTAACTAAGTTTCCCAAAATCATGCACTACTAAGCACAGTACCCAGGATATAAAATCACATCACTTTATGTTTGCTCATTTCGGGTGGTTAGAATCGATCTGTTGTTTCGTCATTTCATTGATTCAAATCCTTACCCCTAAGTCCATTAGGAAAGCCTCGACCTGAACAGCACTCAATTTCTAAAATAGCTCTTAGTGTAATGGAATCATTTGGATGTGACATCATTTGCACAGTTAAGGAAAAGTCCCTTCACCAAATTCTGTGAGGCAATTTAAGCTCTATACATCTCCTCTACAATGCTTCACACATTAGTGAGACATTTTGGTTAGACTTCAAATTTCTCTGCAAATCTGATAATCAGCTGAAAGTAGACTTCTAGGATGAGCTAATGTGGCAAAAAGCCCTTAAGCTGATTTTGGTAGAGGAAAAGAAAATTAGAACAAGAAACTCATGTGTCCTTTTAAAGTTATCGCAGGGAAATATGCAAATGACAGTAGACAGTGCGGCTTAATCTTAAGAAAGATGCTACTTGTGCCAAACTGATCACCATGCTTAATAAGAGGTTATGATGTGAAAGAAACTTAGCTAAGTACTTTATATGCCTATACTTTAATCCTCCCAACTAGGTAAAAGGAAGGTGTTGTTACTATCCTCCTTTTACAGATGAGGAAACTGTGATACCCAGAGGGTTAACAGATATGAATCCAGGAAATCCAAGGCCAAAGGCCTTGTTGTCCTTCGAGTTACGCTGCTCTGCTGTAAGGTCTTTGAGCTCCAGGCCGGGATCTGTCATTTCAACAGCTGTGTGAACTCTGGCAGCCCCTCTGCACTTCCATCAATCCTCTTAGAGAAACCTTGCTAGGACCAATTACAGAGATGGTAGGTGTGAGCGTGTGTGTGTGTGTGCGCGCGCGCGTGTGTGTAAGGGCAGGTCATGCATTTCTAAAAACGAATGCAAAATGAAAATCACAAACCGCCCTGCAAATTCTCTTCATTCGTTTGCACCTGGGCTCTTGGAAAATCGAGTGTCAGAAATTAAATTCCTTGCTCCCTCACTACTCATGGTGGTTGTGCTGCGTGGCCTGCCTTTTCCTGGGGGAAAGCCAACGGAGAAAATGCACGGATTTCTCTCGATTTTGCCTAGATCCTCTGTGAAATTCGTAGTGACGTCAAATTTGTCCACCTGTGATACAACCCAACTCCAGTTCCTTCGGACCCCTGCTTATTCTAAAGCCGTCCTGTCCCCCCGCTCCCGGCTCCCCCGCGCCCCCAATTCACAGCCGCCTGGACCTCCCGTTGTCCGCCCAGCTGGCCCCAGGTCCCGGTCCCCTGCCGTGTCAGGCTACGCCTGCTCCAACACAAATTCTCGGCAGCAGACCTCTGACCCTCCACCCTTGCCCAAGCAAGGGGGCAAAGAACGAGGGGGCATCACGGTTAAGATCGAAGGGAAGGAAACTCGGATCCGGCTGGGGCCTAGGCCCCGAAAGAGCTCGACAGGCCCCTCGCGGCCCTCCCCGGGTCTGCACCCCAGGTTTGTCACCGCCCTCCCCGCACCTTTCCCACTTCCTCCTCAAGTCGTATTCGCGGTGGCCGATCACGAGCCCTCCTCGCCCCTTCGCGCACCTTTTCCAGGGCATGTTAGGGGTCGACATAACTAGTGACCGCCACGCAGAGGCGACCCAAACAGCCCGAGGGACCGGCGCCGCCGCGGGTGACAGGCACGAGGCCGCAGCAGCGCCCGGCCGAGCCGCGCGAAGTCCAGAGGCTCCGCTCCTTTCCCAGGCGACGCGGCCCGGGGACTCACCAGCAGGTTGGTGCTGCGATTATCTCCCTCCGCCATCGTCCCCGAGGTGCCGCCTCAGTGAGCGCAAGCCGCAGCCCAGAGGAGCCGCCCTCCGACACCCGCACGGCGACCCCGACGCGAGGGCACGCCCCGCAAACCGCTTATATAGGCCGGCCGCGTTTCCCGACAGCCCCCGCGACGCTCGCTCCTCATTGGACGGATCGAGCCCAACCTGAAGGGGAGCGGGACCAACTGCTGCCCAGCGCATGGCTTGAAATCGAGGTCACGGGAGAGCGAGGAGACCAGGAGGCGGGGACACAGGGTGGCCAATCAGCGGCCAGGAGCGGTGCGAAGCCCCGCCCAGGCTTTTCGAAAGCTGTTGAACGGCCGCTGTTCCCGGCTTCGCCTGGCCTCAGTGTCCCCAAGGTTGGCCGCCACCCTGGCTCTCGGACTTTCTGCTGGACCTCAGAGCAGCTAAGGAGACTCTCTGAAATTTAGTTCTCGAGGAAATATGCTACGCAGTATGAGGCGGAGGGCAGAGATGGGCAGGTTTCGCTAACCTGGCTGTGATGAAGGGGGCCTGCTGGGGTGTCCTCCTCCCGAACAGGCGGGTGCCCTCCGACCTCGCTCTGCCCCTAGGAGGCCCTACCTTTCTTCTAATCTCTGCCCTGGCTGTCCTAGCCGCGCCACTGACCCCTTTAGCCCGGATTTGTGACCCGGAGACTCGTGCTTTTGAGGACAAATTGAAAGAGCTATTTATGTAGATTTTCCCTAATTTTTTCCTTCCTACCCCTTGGGAAAAAGGCCTTAGTTGATTTGGGGGCGGGAGCGGGGAGGCGGTGATCTGGGCATAGTTTGAGAACTCGTGGAAAATGCACCAACTTATAAAGCTGATTTATTTACATGGGGTAAAAAAATTGGGTAAATTCTCTGTGAGGCACTTGACGAGCTGTTTCTCCAGGACTGGTTTTGACAGCACCTTTCTTACAGTAGAGGTCGTGCTAAGGAAAGACGTAAGCCCTCTCACAAGCAGTGGAATTCATAAGCAATTCAGGAACTAGATGAACTGTGTTGAGGCACCTCGTCTTTTCTCTCCAGGATTTCAAAATGAATTAACAAGCACTCTGATTTTCATTTAATCGAAATCTTGCCCAACGACCTAGATAGATGTCTGTTTTGGGAAAATTTGCCATAGCTTTTAACTTCACTTTTTATCCTTTTATAGTCATCTACAGTATGCCATTGAATTTAAATGTTTTAAAAGCATTCCTTAGATAACTACCAGGTTTTAAAAGCATAAAGAAATGTGAGAAAAGGAAGCTACAGACCACATGTCACCCCTAAGAAAGCCAGAGGGACCTGAGCATTGTGAATTTCAAGAAAAGGTGGGATCTTTGAAAAAATAAAGCATCTTGATCAGACAAATGCTTGAGGGGGAAAGAAGTCTTTGCAAGGGAAGGGGACTCATCAATAAAGTGCTACTTTGGGGAATGTTGGGGATGGAGATAGGTTACATACGTTAAGACGCAGTGCGTTGACTTAGAGACCCGATTTGATTTGGCCGGGCCCTCCCCTCTCTCCTAAAGAAAATCAGAAGTCTCAAACGATAAGCAGCCACATAGTGAATATATATTGAGCAGAGTGCAAAATCTTCCTGTAGGCACAGTAACGCCCATTTCCAAAGGCGAGGCCACAGACTTATTAGGCTTTAAAAAGTGACATTTCTTAAACACACACACACACACACACACACGCACGCCCTGACATTGCTATTTTGAGAAGTCAGCTTTTGCTACAGACTACTTCTGGTTTTCACCCAAGTTCCCCACGTACAACTTGATTATACACCAGCTTGTGAAATGGAAGTAGTTGAAAACAAAAGGCAGCAACTCGAGCAGCTCAGGTTCTTTTTTGTCACTAAGAAATGTGTTCCCAGGGCGATAGCACCCTCAGGGCCTGCGGGCACTGCTAAAAAGTCTTTAAAGTTCCAATTGGCCTAATTAAAAAAACACCAACCCTTAGTAGTGCTTTCTTTTGAGCTTTGTTTCTGTAATGCAAAAACAGGATGTGATCTTTTGAAATGTGCCGGATGACAAAACAGTTAACAGAAATCCTAACACAATCTAGGAGCAACAAATGCAATCTAATTTCCAGACATTAAAACAAAATGGACATTTTTTCTTCAGAGCTTTTGCACGCCAGGAAATATGTCAGTAACGTTCTATAGTTTTGTTTTTAAATACTGACAATGTTAAGTTTAATAAATCGTGCCTTAATACTGAGAACTTTCCCATTGAAGTAAAATTTCTACTGATGTTTAAAAATACTATAGCATGTTAAGGGTGGGAAAAAATTCTTTGAGAAATTTTAACTTTTTTTGGAGATGTTAATGTTTAAAAAAAGCTACTCATCTTCCAAAATTAAGTTTCCTGGAAACTATTTCTACCAATGAATTCAGAGCTTAAATGCTATGTCTTTTAAGACTTTATTTTTTGAAAAACAAGTATTTCATACAATCTTTGCCATGTTAATGCAGATATGCACAAAGTAGGCATGTATTTTTGTTTTTGCAAAAGATGCATTATGAACATTTTCAGGAAGCTGGTGTGATTTATTCAACTTTTAATCTTAAATACAATCACAAAATTATATCCATCAGGAGGCATTACAACCTTTTGTACATAGAAGCCACTTTATTTATACAATGTGTATTAGGACAAGGAAGATTCAGTTCAACTCAATTTGCTCTTTATAGTAAGGGTAAAGTAACAAGTAAAATGAAGTATGATGTTCCCACTGACATTACAGGTGGAAATATAAGGGAAATTTAAACCAGTAAAATAACTGACATAAGAACTTTAAACAGGAGCTGAAACTGGGACTGCCAGGAAAAGAAAAACATCAGCCTATTTTGAAAGAAAAACATTCCAGAAGTCTGCCTCTCAGAACTTGTCATTCTCTTAGGTCTACCCCCTTCGAAAGTCGAGCTAACTGGATGACTTTTTTTCATCAGCACAGCCAACAGCTTTTCCCCAGGAATCACAGTTAAACTCCCATAGAAAGCAAAAGACATGAAGCGGTTCGTGCTATACAACTAACCCTTGAACTTATAAAGCTGCTCTAAATCGGAGTCCATTTGCCCATTTGTAAATAAGGGATGGTGACATTGTTACCCAGGCCTACAAAGCAGGAAAAATGCCACAAACCCTTGGGGGCATAACAGTAAATTTCCCCTTCCCCAATGTTTGGAAAAATTTGTAAGGCTAGTTTTTCCCCATAGGAGAAATCTTTCTAATACAACCCAAATACTGAAAACGAAGTCTACCTTCTTTAATACAGTCCACCTCTTTGATTTGAGGAGGGAGCGGGGAGTTCTAGCTCTAAATTACTGGCACTTTACAAGCTCAAGAAGACATAGGATGGAAGGTCGGTGGTTTTCATATTCATCTAATTTGATGTAAAACAAAGGGACTTAAATGTGGTAATAGTAAAACATGTAGATGAATAGGGCTAAAAGCCTAATTGTAGGTGCTTTCTTAAATGAAAAGAATTGGGAGAAAAGAACCAGCTCCTTACTGCCAAAACAAGTGAGCCCCAGAGTAATCACAAATATGTGGAGGAAAATAGGCCAGGAAGACTTTTCAGTTTCGGTTTAAAGTACTGCCTATAATACCTCGGATTGAAAAGAACCTAAGATTGCACATCGACTCTAATATTTGGCTGTACTTACATTGCCCTGCGTGGCATTTTTTAATGGCTCTTTCCTTAAATTTCACACATCAGAACAACCACAATTAAAAAAACAAAAACGATGCAGAGAACAAACACTGGACAATTTTAAGAAAACTACATACTAAGCTTAGGTAATAGAGGCAAGTGTTAAGGGCAGAAGTGATGGAAGTTTTTTTTTTTGTATTACAGACCCGCACCCTGAACCTGGGGTTTGGGCTCTAAAAAACCAACATAGGGAAGCGGATCAAGAGCTCGATTATCAGTTCTCACACAGAAATCTCAGCTATCACAAAACAACTCACCCCGTGTCGGACACAAAAGAATCTTAATAATCGTCTAGTGAATTATGTTGAGAACTCACGACCAGAAATAAGGAGATACTGCAAGACATACCAAAGAAATAGTAAAAGAGAAATACAGACACTTCCATAAACCATTAAGCTTCCACAGCTTTGTAGAGAAATCAACTGAACTTCAGGCCATTCTAGAAAACTGAAGACAACAAAACACAACTTCAATTTCCAAGGGTACTCTGAGTTGAATTAGAGGTTGTAGGTTATTCTGTACCCTCTGAATCTTGAGAGCAAGCAGATCCCGTTTTCCACAGGTATTCTGTCATCAAAAACGTATGACTTCATAACCACAGCACTCTACACTTTATTTTACAAGATAATCTCCCAAATATAGCCCTGACCGCTCAATCTGCTACATCGCTTGGGCCTTTTATTGCGGATTAAATCCTGTTGAGTTCCAAACGGCAAGGCCACCCGCAGAATGACGTCCCAGAGGAAGCCAAACTATCCGGACCGGAGTCTCGTTGTCCAGAGTGTAGTGAAAAGTAGCTCTGAAGTCATCAGTTGTTCATATCTGCCCTACAACCAAACACATAGAAGCCACACTATTCTCTGAGGAACCATTTTAAAATAAAAGTGATGGATGATTTACCAGAGGCACGTGTTTTTCATATAAAGCTGCTTCGTTTTTGCTTGGATAAGGTGCCAGGTACCTCTGAAGCCTGAAATTCACAGGCGATAAAATTTACCTATTTCATTTATCTTCTTTACCAAAGAGAAAGCAACTGCTAAGTACTACCTATAGAGACAAACTAGTGTGAACTGGTTTAATCATTTTGATGGAAGGTTTCCCCTCTGACAAAGAATGTTGCTGAAAAGACTTTCATCTTGAGAGACTTTCATCTTGAGAGCGGAGGTAATCAAGTGATGAATGCGATAGCTCCCACAGCCTCCAGGAAATAAAGCAGCAGCATGCAAAACACAATATGGCATTATTATTCCAAATAGGTTGTTTTAATTGTGAAACTAGGGTTCGAATAATGAAGAAAATAAAATTTGATACACTAGGTTCCTTATCTTGCTATTAGACATATGGGTATTCAAAAACACCACCTTTCTTGCAATATCTGTCAAAGTATTTAAAA